AAGGTCAAAATAAAAAAAAAAAAAATATAAATTACAGGCAGAGATTGATAGAAAAATACATATGTTGTTGCTAAACTTTTGACAAATCAGATTCTCTTTTTAAAATACGATTTCTTGTTAATATTATTTGCTTTAGAATTTCATTAATGAAATAAATTAATAGATATTATAATTACAAAAAATTGAAGATTGCTCAATTTCTCTTCTGAATATTGAAAAAAAGCAGTTTGGTCTCAATGAGATATTTCACAAATTAAGATTAAACAACATTACTATATTAATTTTGATTATCAATTATGAAAAAATTGATTTATGATTTAACTAAAGAATAATAATATTGCGGTGATTAAATATCAATTATAATAAGAGGATTATTGGATGATAATTGTTTATTTTATTAGGAAAATTAAAGAATTTTAGGTCCCTGCAATTTTGAAGAATTTCTCGATAAAAATACTTGATTTAATCCAAAAGCAATTATTGTTGCAAAATATTCTCCTTGTAAATAGGAATTTAATCGAACTGATTATCAATAATAAATGAAATACTTTTCTTCTTGTGTTAATGATAATTAGATACTTATAATGGAAGATAACCAAAACAAAATAATACATATAAATTAAATTAATATGAGAATTTATATATAAGAGTTTAACAAGTAATCAAATATAAATATAATTATCGTTCTCTCTCTCTCAGAATTTCAAAAAATCATTATATAACAAACCTTAATAACAATTAAGATTATCGATTGATTGAGAAAGACAAAATATTGATTAAAGAAATATATATAATTAACTTCTAATATGGAATGATACCATCAAAAAGCATAATAAGCTTAAATTTTGATGATTGACATATTTGAATCCACTGTATTTCCTCCTCTGTTGAAGAATCTTATTTTTGAGACTATTTAACTAGAAAACTTTGCTTTGACTACGGCAGGTTATGCTAAACCATCAAAAACAATTGTTTCTGTTATCCCATCAACCCCTATAACAAATACTTGCATATTCGTTATTCTATGACCCCCTTCCCACATCCAAAACCTAATAGTATTAATTTCATAACTCTATAAGAATTCTACAATAGCTGAAGTACCCAAAGGCATAACAATATGTCCTACAACTATTGTAGGATAAGAATAGTATAATGAAAATCTTAAGGGATTATCATCAATATCTTTTCTCCAAAATATATTTGTTCTTGCAGTTGATAAAAATGATCCATGAAATGTTGAAGCTACATCTAATTTGAGACCTCTTAGAATATGCTTTTATCTTTAAAATAAGTTTTCCTAGCAGAGTCCTGCCTTAACTCCAAAGAAATTTGAATACTCTAAGAAAAATATCAAGAGTATAAACCTCATTGAAAAGAAAATTAAAATATTTAGATATATAGAATTTACTTCTTTCTAAATTCATTTGTTAAAATCCTTTAAATTCTATTGAATTTGGTATATGTTAATGTCTCTTTATTTAAACTCATAAGATAATATTAGGGTTTATTTCTTATACATAAGAGATTATATAAATATGAATTTTTGTTTTATTATTAATGTAATATATATCCTAATGTTTTAAGATATAATTTTTCAAAAGAATAATCTTTAGGCTTTAAATTTATTAATTCTTATAAATTGATCCCTTAATAAAATGAGTAATCCCTTTTTAACTATTGACACTAATATCACAATATTATTACACTTTTTGATAATATATTGGAAATAAAACAATTGGCAACAATTAAGATTAAATTATGGGCCTAATTAGTAAGTTGAGATTCTTAATATTTCTATTGTAATTGATAGACCGAAAAATAATGAATTTTTATGAGTTCAATTCAATTATTACTTATCATTTTTATCAGCCTTTAAAGCTTTAAATATAATGTCATTTAATTCAAAAAGAAAATAATTGATACAATAATAGTAGTAAGCATAAAGGTGATATATAAACTTTAAACTTTATGAATAAATCTGATCACTTAATATTTAGAAGTGATGAAAAATCAATTATAATATGGTCTATGAATTAAAGTAACTAATGGATTTACTAATAGAAATTAAATAGAAATAATAATAATTATATATATAGTATCTTTTGAATAATAATGAGGATTTGATCATTTCAGGTAGTTGTGATTTCACTATTAGATTTTATAAGAAGTAGAATCAATGGCTATGTTAATAAACTATCACAGATCATACTAGTCATGTATAAGGATTAAATATGAATTAACATTAGAATAAAGTGATTTCATGTGGAAGAGAGGAATAAATATTAATAATAGAACAATCATAATAGGATACTAAATGAATTGTAATTTAAAGATAATGGTTGAAACACTTGTTTATAAAATATGATTTATAAATGATAATGTATTCACGTTTTAATCATATTACAAAGAATAAACACATGCTTATCAAATGAGTAATACTAATAAATAGTATGTAAAAACTATAGATATTCTTGTTAAAGGTGGAAATGATAAGTTTTTATTTCCTTAATAGCTTATACAATCAAAATGACTGCTTGTAAATAAGAATGCAAGTATGTGAATTTGCTAAGGACAAAGGAAAATAGTGAGTTCAAAACTTAATAATCCATTGAATTTAGAGGTAATTTTATATCTGGATGTATGAGTGATGACGCTTAACTTTGGATGAAGATTCAAGAGAAATTCAAATTAGAAAATATATATAATTTATAATTATTCATTTCAGCCTTCTGAATATTAAATAACATGTTTGTAAAATTTTGCTTCAATAATAATCCTCTATTTCATCTGACTGTTATGAAGTTAATTTGAAATATTCTTATAAATCATTGAAGGGCTATGATATCATTTGCATTGCGTTAAGTTAACTTAGTTTTTCAATTTTATAATTTTATGTGATTTTGAAAAATCTAATAAAAATTAGAATGTTGTTCAAATAATACAATTTTATATTTTGTAGAAATAAAAATGATTTAAA